TGTTGTTGTTGTTGTCACCCTGGCTCAATAGATAGCATTCTCGGCTCTGAGTCAAAAAACTGTGGGCTCAGGTTGCAAGTCAGGATTCTGAACTCCCAGTCTAGGCTAAGACTCCAGTGTATCCTGGGGGTGTGACACATTGTTGGAGGTGTCGCCTTTTGAATGAGATGTTAATCCAAGATACCATCTGTCTGATCAGATGGACATTAAAGATCCCAAGGTACCATTTGAAAAGAGATGGGAGTTTCTCCCTGTGTCCTGGCCAACACTCTCCCAGATTGGTCACTTAGAAACATTACTGTGCACAAATTGGCTGCCATGTTTACCTACAAATAAATAGTGTCTATACTTCACAGTCAAATCCTGTGAAGTTTTTTTTAGACATCTTAATGACATGATAAGGTGTTATATCAAATGCAAGGATTATTATTATTGCAGCTTCAGCAGCTTTTAGTTGCTTGAGCGATTCATGTCTGCTTTATCTTTTTATTTTGCTCTCTTATCTTCGCATCTAGATATGATTCCACAGGGATTAAACACCTCCAGCATCTGTTTCTTATATGGTAGTCTGTATGGTGAGGGTTAGTTAGATTTTCAACAGTAGGGTTATCACTATCAGAGCCCTGCCCTCATCTGACTTCCACACAAATGGATTGTCGAGCAGAAAACCCCTGACTGCACAGCAAAATAATTTGTTTCCCTTCTTACTTCAGGATTCTTAAGGCCAGTTGTAGTTTCCTTCTCGTGTCTTGCCAAAGATCATCACACTCAGCCAGGAAGCAATCTGGGACCTCTTGTTCTGTATGGCTTAGGTCACTCTAGCCAATGCTTATACCGACTGAGTTTATGGGGTTCAAAACAGAGAAAGCGGTAGTTTCCTCAGGAAAGCGGTAGTTTGCCTGACACTGGGTCCCTAACCTCTGGAATTCCCTTACTCAATCGCTGACCTCGCCACTTCTTGTCTACTTTTAATTCCCAACACAAGACCTACCTCTTCGACTGCATGTATGGTCACCTTCCCTTCCCCTTCTCTATTGCTCGGCATCCAGCCCCTCCTTTGTGCAGTGCTCCTGCATGCTATATAAATGCAAGCTGTTGTTTTGTAGCCAGAAAAAGTGTTTCTTGACATAGCTTGTGTCTCCATTGAACTCATGTGAAGCATAAAAAGTGGTATGGACTGGATGAGCCAAATTCTGTTTCTGTGCAATTTTTTGTAAGGAAATCCCATGTATATCACGTTTAAGACCTCAGCTCCAACATAAGATAGCCATTGTCTCACCGGTCAGTTATATCTCTTGGGTTCCTTTGCTTGACACTCAGTTTATGTATGAAGTACTTTTTAAACCAGTGAGCTGTCACTTTCCTGAGTAACAGTTCTTTCAGACCCATTATCTGCTCTTTCTCACAAAATATCAAATCTATACTTTTGGTGTACACAAATCAACTTCCTGAGCTGTTCCAAGTGCACATTGCAACTGTTTTTTATAGTTATGTATGTCAGGAGCTTATGGTTATAGTTTGATTTTCCAAGGCAAGCAATAATGTGAAATAACAGTGGAACATTCTGGGATGTAAACAGATTTTTGTTTGACTGGCTGTCAGAATGTCTCGCACAGGCACAGGATGGAGTAAACCACATATGCCTCCGACAATACCCTGGCTTCAGAAATTCAGAACGAAGAATAATCAACTTATTCTCTCTCTCTCTCTCTCGGAATTCTGACTCTTCAAAATAGAGGTATTCAAAACATACTCAGCATAATTAAACCAAAGAATGCGTCCCTTCATACAATTCAGAAAGGTCAGTTTCTAAGCTTTGTCTTTCCTCTGCAGACTTGTCACACAGGTACCAAAGAAATATATGACAAATGGAGGCCATTTGGCCTATATTTTCATGTTTTTTGCTCCCAGAAAATAATAATAATCTTTGCATTAGATATAGAAGCTTTCACGTAACGTCTCAAAGCACTTCACAGGATTTTACTGTAAAGTATAATGACTGTGTATTTTGTATGCATATGCATATAACCATTCCATACCTTGGCAACCCTCTGGAAGAAGATCTTCTGACCTTTATCTTTTACTCAGCCTGGTGCCTGACACATGTGGAAACCCATCACTATACCAGCAATTGTACAGTTTTCGCTTTTGCCAGGGAGTATGGGCCCTCTATAATCACTATAATTATACATTGGTTTCACTCACATTGAGTGATATAGAATGTAAGACAGATACCATTAGTACCAAAGACTCTGCAAATGTTTAGAGAGAGACAAGTAGAAATAAACCTTCAAGATTGAAAGTTAAGCACTATTGCTTCCTATCTGGAGTTTTCTGTGAACTTTCAATCCTGCTGGGAGGAGAGGGAAGCCATAAACAGTGGATAACAATAACAACAACTTGCACTTATATAGCACATTCAACACAGGGTAGCGTCTCAGAGCGAGTGCTTAACAGTGTTGACTCCGAGCCGGGTGGGGTGGTGGGGGAGGGGTGGGGGGCGGGGAGGTGGTCGTAAGCACAGTTGAGGAGGAAAGTTTTCAAGCAGGACTTGAAAAAGGGTAGAGAGGGGGCAAGGCGGAGGGATTGAGGGAGAGTGTTCCAGAGTTTCGGGGTGTAGTGGCTGAAAGCGCAACCTCCAATGGTGGGGTGGAGGGTGCGAGGGATGAGCAGGAGACCGGTGCCAGTTGAGCAGAGGTGCCGGGTGATGGATTGGGGAGTGAGGAGGTCGGAGAGATAGGGAGGTGCCAGAGAGTGAAGGGATTTGAACACGAGTGTGAGGATCTTGAAGTCGATCGGTTCGATGATGGGAAGCCAGTGGAGTTCTGGCCAGAACTGGTGACCTGTGGGTATGCAGTTATGCGTGGGATAGTATGCAGGCAGCAGAGTTCTGAATGAGCTGAATCTTTTGAACAGTGGAGAGACCGGCGAAGAGTGCATTTCAGTAATCTAAGCGGGAGGTGACAAACGCATGCACGAGGGATGATAGTATTGTAGAAAATGACATGTGTGGAGTAATGACTGGTTCTTAGTATTTGGTTTCTGGGTCAATGGAAGTTAGAAGCTGTGTGTGTTTTTTGTGTTGAATAACATTAGTGTTGTAATGTGATTGACCTTTAGGTGCATGGGGTGTTTTTAGTGAGACAGCTCATGCTATGAGCAGCAAGCTGTTCTTTATGGTTGACAGTGAGTATCTTTCCAATCTGCTATTCAATGGCATGTGTATAACAATACTGACAAGTTAACAGTGGAGGTGGGGAGTGGGGTGTGGGTCCTACTTCCTCAGTCTGTAAATGTTTTGTATGCCTCATCATTGACATTTCGTACACTTCATTTTGTATACCTTCTGCTTGTCACATGTCAACAGTTTAAACGCCTTCTGGGTGGAGGGCAGAGGGAGAAGGAGGGTGACATAGCAGCTAGCAAGATATGTTCAGAATTACAGTAACTGGTGTTTCATTTTTGAAGGTTGTTTGAAGAGGTTACATGACCAGGTCTTTAATGATATTAAAAAAAGCTTAATGGAATCAATCAGCTTATTTTCAGGGGCAGTTTATGAGCATGGTCAAATTGATTGGCATCACACTGGAGCAGAACAATGGGATGGGCTACAGAAAAGCCTTCTCAAAGAGCTGCCAGGAGTCAGAAACAGTGCCAACAAACTTAATTCACACTAGGGGTTTTGTTGCAATTTACTCTGCAGATGCATAGGGACATATATCACAAACAAAGGGAATTTTAATAGTTGTTTGTTATACTCTGTAATTTAGCAATAGTCTCATTCTTATCGTTGATTTCCTTTTCAAAGCATATATTTTAGACCTCCTGCAAGCTGCAGGTGATTGTAGTGTCTTGTGAATTAGGAAGCTATTACACAACGTGTTTGGATTCTCTGAGCAGTGTTTTTCGTTGATCAGGCTGCAGAAAAGAAATACTGCTGCTGAGACATCTAGACTGGGCTCTGTCATTAATATGTCAGCTTCCACATTGACTGAGTACTCTATTATTTACAATTGGGTCTTGTTTTAGACCAGTGCCCAATGAAACAACCGATGTCTCAGTGCATCATACTGCCACATTAAGAAGTCCCAGTGAGTATGGAAAACAAACTACTCATGATCTGAAAAGCAAAGGGAACACTCTGACATCTGCCTTTCTTGAGAATCTATGACTATGATAGGGCTCAATTCTATTTATTTTAGTAGATAAGTTCTGACACCAGCGCACAATGTGATTCAGTGAAACACTGAGTCACTATTGCATCATGCCAAAGAAATATTAACAAGATCATTGACATACTGAAGTTTCAGTGAGAAGGAAATGACGCAACACAGTGCATTAAAATTAGACAGGTCATTGCCACTCAGGGATAGAGGATCAACCATTTAATTTTGAAAATAAAGTGCTGAGATGCTTTGGAGTGTCAGGCCCATTGTGAATAGGTGTAAGAGTATCAGTCTTTTTTTTAAAAAAGCGTGTTAACCTGTATTCGATCTTGAAATGGAGCGTTTGACCTCACAGCAATTAGCTCTTCATCCCAACCTCTCCTTTCATCTTCGGATCTGGGTATCTAAAGTTTAAGATCATGTAGAATTATGGAAAAAAATTAAATTCAGTCTTAATTTGTAAGCCAGTTTTACACGTTTTTTAAAATTCAGTTTCTGACTGAATGTAAGAATTTTCCACAGTTTAGGGTCAAAATAAATTCTAGCACACATACTGATCTTACAGACAAAATAAGAGTGAAATTTCAGACCTTAGATGTTTTAGAAATGTGATAATTGCCCATTTTTATTAAGAAATTTGTCGAGAAATGCCACTTAGAAATATCACTCAATTCAACTCACTAATTGTGTAAATGATTATTATTTTGGCTTCTAATCTATATCGTGCAAATCTATGTTAATAATATGTTTGTATATATTGCAATACTTTACTATTTTATGTTGTTTTATTTATTGGTGAAAATTATAAATGAACCTTTTTCTGTCCTCTTCTAGGGGTGACGACAGTGCTTACAATGACAACTCTGAGTATCAGTGCCCGAAACTCCCTCCCTAAAGTTGCATATGCCACTGCCATGGACTGGTTTATTGCTGTGTGCTACGCCTTTGTGTTCTCTGCACTGATAGAATTTGCCACAGTAAATTATTTTACAAAACGAGGTTGGGCTTGGGATGGGAAAAGTGTCGTGAACGAAAAGGTAAGTTTTCCTTGTTTACAGACTTAACGCAAAGCTTGGCTACGAATACCACACAATAACATTCATAAATTAGGTAAATTTAATAAAAGGTATTTCAGATAAAGAGCAAAGGTTAACATACGATTTTTGGAAATATGTTCTCAGTCTGTTTAAAAAGTATTTCATATGCATATATTTATTTTAATGAGGATTAAAATAACAATACTCAGTACCTTACTTATCATTGGTTTGATTCAAACTAATCAAGGCAATGTTCCATTCCACAGAAATGTACCGGTATGCAATACTGAGAGAGCCTTTCATTGCTGGATGTGCAATCCTTTGGATGAGAGTTAAATCAAAGTCCTTACATCAAAGGGCAGGGACATCTGGTGACCCAGTCAATGTTCCTCCCTCAACAGAATTTACCCCTAAAATAAAACTAATTCAGCTTTCATTGCACTGCTGTTTGTGGGATATTGTGAGCGCAGATTAGCTGCTACCTTTGCCTAATGAACTAGGTTACATTTCAAAGTAATTAATTGTGTGAAACGCTTTGATATGTTTCAAAGTGATAAGGCACTAAATTAAATGAAAGTATTATAACAACAACAAATTACGTTTGTATAGCGCCTTTCATGTCGGGAGGATGTTGCAAGGCACTGGACCTTGCAACATCCTCCCGACATGAAAGGCGCTATATCAGTCTGAAATTTGGATCCGAGCAGGGGGTTGGAATTAGAGTGGGTGCAGGCAGGGAGGGTAGGAGTAGGAGGATAGCGATAGGAGGGTGACCAAATGCGCAGATGAAGAGGAGGGTTTTGAGATGTGCTTTGAAGGAGACAAGGGAGGGAGCAGGTGAAGGGACTGTGGGATGGAGTTCCAAAGGGTAGAGAAGCTGAAGTCCCGACTGCCAATGGTGGAGCGGGCCGGGCGGGGGACGTGGAGCAGACCGGAGCATGCTTAGCAGAGGGAGCAGACAGGTTGATATGGGGTTACCAGTTATTATTATCACATGAAGTGTTTGTTAAATTGTGGTAAACAACGACTGAAATGACTAGCTGATCCTAAAAGTTGAAATGGTCAAGTGGAAGGCCATCTTCCCAGGGAGTGATAAGAGTGATAAATATATTTCTGAATGCTTGGACTGAATACCTGTGCTTCCACATGCCAGATTGTTTAGATGTAGTTAATATTCTATCCATGACTGAGTTTGTAATCTATGCTGACACTCCAATGAGCTAATACAGTGCTGGGGAATCACTACATTGTCAGAGGTGCCATCTTCCAATCAGACATTAAACCAAGGTCCTATCTACCTGTTCAAGTTGATGTTAAATATTTAAAAAAGGGAGTTTCTCATGGTGTGCTGACCAACAATCCCCCAGATAAAATTGGCCATTCACTTCAGGGCTATTTGTGGGATATTGCAGCAGGCAAATTAGCTGCTGAGTTTATCTGGAAATGCACAGTCACAACACTTTACCGAAACATTGTGAAGCACTTTAAAATGTTCTTGATGTTATAGATGCTGTATCAAATGCAAGGATCATTTCTTTTAGAAGGTTGTATTACAGAAATAATCTTTCATGTATCTCACAGTATTGTTGTTTGTACTAAGCAACATGAAATGACAATGGTAATATAAATGACTTATGTACATGTTATTGGATATTTATTGACCAACTCGTGACAGTCTTGATAGCCCGGGTCCTGAGCCAGGTGGATCCACAGTATTTCAATGCATTGTTGATAACAGACTAGCTTGTCAGCACAAGTATTACAAATTTTGAAGTTGATATTTGTGGAAAGATTGAAAGGGCCATATTAATGTGAACCTCTCTTTTCTAATCTTTGAGTATAATTCAGGGTACTGTTTAACAGATTTCTTAACAAGAAATTACATTAGAACTCCAGTCAACCTATAGGAGCTCATTTGCAGAGAAGATCACATTAGAGGGGAGATCTATCGCTTTAGCCGGATATAATTGTATCATTTAAACAACTTGGATTTATAATGAAGGAATCTTGTTAAGAAATTATTTCAATTTCAAACCACTATTTAGAACCATCCCTCATTCAATATCATGAAGAGCATTCAATTCCATTTGGATCATCTATACTGTGTTGGCCAATAAAACACACAATCACTACACTTTGCACTGTAACCTGGGAAGCGCTTATAGGCAATCATCCCAAAGTGAAAGCCACTGTATCAAACATAAGGATTATTATTATTCTTTGCTGTAATGAACAAACATGAAACAACCAAATCACCAATCTCATTTGCTTTTACTTTACAGAAAAAAGAAAAAGCTTCTATTATGAAGAAAAATAATGCTTACGCAGTGGCAGTTGCCAATTATGCACCTAATATCACCAAGGACTCAGTTCTGCCAACAATTGCAAAGAGTGCAACTGCAGAACCAAAAGACGCCAAACCAGAGTCCAAACCACAGGACGCTAAGAAAACATTTAACAGTGAAAGCAAAATTGACAGAATGTCAAGGATAATGTTTCCTGTTTTATTTGGAACTTTCAATTTAGTGTACTGGGCCACCTATTTAAACAGAGACCCTGTTATTCAAGCGATGATGCCAGATAATAACCATTAATACATTTTAAGGCAGTGTAGAATTTCTAAAAGGTGATGATGCCAAATACAACTGGTAATTGCTGATCTATGTACTTTGGTATGTTTATAAAACAAGCCTTTATTTTGACATGATTCGCACACGAAAAAAGTCCTCATTTATAAAACGATTCAAGATGCGAAATGAAAGAAAGATCAATTTAGAACAAGATAGTAAGGATCTTAAAAGGGATGAAATGAGTTGAGATGCAAAATGTCAGATTTCAGTGCGTACGTTTATGTGGCTTGTGCACTACCGCTGTTTACAAGGTTTTATAAAATAGATACCTAAAATCAAAGGAGTTCATATGTTAGCACTTATTGGTTGAACTAAACAAATAAGTTACACGCTTCTCATTTCTTTTTTATTGTAAGACCATATGTAATACAAATGTGTCAATGGTTAAAAGTAGTACTTAGTGACTTTTAATTTCTTCAGTCTAGTAAACAATTTACTTGGTTTGGGTGAAAAATGTTGAATTGTAAAAAGACACACTTTTCTTATATACTGAGAGATCCTAAGAGGATGATCATTGGTAAATGAACAAAACTTTGTGGGTGAATGGGTCTACTGGTTGTTAAATGTATCACCTGGTGGACAGTAAGATGGGTTTGCTCACCAAGTTTGGTACAATGATCAAAGTATCATCCTCATAATGTTTAAATAAGTCAGCAGGAGTGAGGGTGGAAGTGAACATCCACTAACCAGTAAAGTTACAAACCTTGTTTGAATAACGCTTAGCACAGGGTAAGCCAGTAACTTTACAGACCAGCCTAATTTCACTCCATTGGCTTCTTTAAAAATACTGATAACACAACTTTAATGTTTAATTTATTGTACTTCTTTTATGTATGCTTACTGCTGCCACTTTGTTTTTTCTGTAAAATACAATGCGTGTGATTTGCATGATGATACTGGTGCTGAAGTCACAAGGTGCATCTTGCGACTAATCCAACAATGGCATCATACAATGTGCAGAAAGACTGCCTCAATTAGTACATAAACAGTTTGGAAATCCAGCTTGTCCACTAAAACAATTTTAAAACTATAGAACCGTGAAGCCTACAATAAAGGAAACATTAATTCAAAGCTGTGTTTTATATATATTTCCTTCTTTAAAAGTAATATTTTTTTGTAGAATAAAAAGACTATCCATGAATATAAATTTGGGGAACTGCACTTTAATTAAGGAAACCAGCTCCTAGTATTATGTAAGATGTCTGGTTGTGGCTGCACACTTTTATAAGAGAAATACACTTCCAATTGTAAGTGAAGGTCACTTCATTCACCAAGTGAGAGATGGTGCCAGAAATCACAAGTAGCTCAGTTTTTAAGATAATCTCTTTATCCAAAATATTCAAACAAATGCTAGGATCCCCACTAATTATTGAATTTGCAACTTTGGGGTCAGAATTTAGGTATTCATAAATATCTTCCAATCTCTAGTGGATCAACATTGTTAAAATGTGTCCTGAAATAACACCTCCCCCTCCTAGAGTTCTAAATAATGATGAGCCAAAGCCATCTGAAAATGGTGGGAGCTACTATCATGGTTTCCCATTTAGCGAAGCCACTGTTGTGCAAGTGGCAGTGGCCTTTCAGGTGTCACTTTACAGATTATTGATTTAGTTTATTGTGTAAAACATCTTTGACAGGTCACAATATGAAATCCATAAATTTGATGGATTACTGGCCTAACTCTTGCTTCCACTTTGATATTAACAAAACAGGAAAGACCGGCTCTGAGCCTTTTCGGTGGGTTTTGGACACAGATGTTATTCTGTTATTCAGATCAGGGAAGGTGATACTTCAAAACTCCCTTTAACAGCATTCCTCAAATAAGGTATGGAATGTGTTTAGGAACACTGCAATTTTAACCATTTATGATTGCACAGATAAAGCTTATGATTGAAAAGTAGAAGTAGAATCATAACACAATTAATTATTATTTTATTCAATTGTTCATGATGAAATTCAATTATTTATTAGATCATGACAGATCTTTTAATTCCCCACCTTTTCTCCATATCCCTTAATATCCATGTTTCCTAAGTATCTTCCAAGGTCCTTTTGCCAAGATTAAAGAAGGTTGTTGTACATCGAAACAGAGATTTTGTTGATTATAGGAAACAAAAGAAAGACTGAATTCTGGTGTTTCTTTAGATTTTCCTCAGTCAAATGATTAAACTTTATGAAATATAAGGTTATGATCATTTGTCCTACACAAAATAATGAATATATAATTATTGAGTCTTACATCAACTCCATATTCACAAGATTGTTTTGATTGAAGAAGGCCCTTCAGTATATCTGAACTCATCCCTCCAAAATACCCACCCTACTGTCCTTCCATCACAACTGAAAGCTGCTTTTTAAATGAGTCCAGTGTCCTGGCCTCAACCACCTTTCTTGGCAACCTGTTCCAATTATTAGTTACTTTCTGAGTAAAGAAAAATGCCCTGATTCCTGTCCCAAAATTGCCCTTTGGAACTCTAATCATATGTCCTCTTGCTCTACTGGCTTAATGCATTTAAAAGTAAATTGCTCTGGGTTTACTTTTCCAATCCCAGTTGCAGACAAGTGTGACTCGCAGAAGTTCCTGATTTCCACTTTTAACTTGACTGAGTCAAAGCCATAAACAGGATTTCCCTATTAGTCTTCTATCATTTGTTTTTTATTGCCTGTAAATATTACTCATCAGGCTAATTCTGAGCCATCAGTAAAATATAAAGTCACTTAAATATAAAGTTCCTACCACTTTTCAAAATGGATGATGGGACCAGGAAGGAAGAAAGAGAAAGATAAGTGACAGATGTCAAAGATGGAAATGTTGCAGGAATAAATAAAAAGGCTAGCATAAAATAGGTAGAAAAACAGTTAAAAAGAAAGTCAGGATTAAATTTTCAAGGTAGAATAGGGAAGAATAGAAATAGAAGGAATAAATGGATGGTAGAATAAGCATGTCTAATGTTTTTAAAGGTTTTATGTTTGATAATCTTATGATGATTTGCATTTATTTTTGCTTTTGGGGTTAACCTTTATTGTAATAAAACAATAATAATGTTTACATTTGGTATAGTACCTTTAATGTCAGGAGGACATCTCAAGGCACTTCACAGGATTTATTATGAGGTGGTTCTGGTGCTTGAGTATCTTTACTACAATCCAGTATTTTCTCCACATGACATTATGTGAGTTGAAAATGTACAACTCAGAAAATGTACTGACCCAGAGAGGCGGGAGTGTCCATGGACCTGCTGGCAGGTCTAAGGTTTAAAAATATCTGAACAGGGAAATATAATCTGTTTAAATCTTACAGATTAATATTTAAAGTGTTGCTGTGGAATAGTATAGGCATTCCAATAACAAACAGAATGCAAATTCCACTATAAAGATGCAACAAAAAAGATTAGTATGTTGGCAATCAATAAGATTCTCCTGTAATATTGGACGAGCATCACTGAAACACTGTAAAACACCGGTGACAGCACAGCTGGAGCATTATTATAATAATGAAACAATAGTAAAACAATTTTGTTTACCAAATGACAACAAAGATAGTTCCAGATTTTAGATCATTGGGGTAGAAAGAAAGGCTAAGGTAATGCTATACATTTTGATTGGAAAAAGGATTATGAGGGAATCCAATCCAAGCTTTTAGGAAAGGCAAAAATGTGCCATTCTAATATTCAGCCAATTGAGCTGCATGCTTTTTCTGATACCACCATCTCTGTGTAGTTCATTACCTGCAAACGTGGAAATTGACCTGTCAAAGTATCCCGATTACAATTGGAGTGGTGTGGTCCTTTTGTAAATCTTGCTCTTCCATTAATAAATTGCGTTGTGCAACAGAGATATATTACATTAGTCATTAATGAAATTTAGCTTGATAACTTCAACCTTCACAGCTTACAGTTCCAGAAAAAATACATAATTATCAGTGATATTCCTATTGCTTTCAAGCATAATTGTATTTACATACTTGGAATACTGTTCATGCTGTTGACAAAACAGACCTAGCCTGTTGTCTTATCCAATAATGAATGTGAATTGCTGTATGATTCTGACTGGGTTGCTATGTTGCATGTTGGCTCAGTAGCAATAATGAATGAAAAGAAGTATAACATTGTTCAATAATTAATATTGGCATTGCTCTGACATGAGTGATATCCAATCACCTGACTCTAACCCAGAAATACACATTTCTAAATAAATTATACACATTTTCAGGCTCACTATTGCTGCTACGTGTATCTCGAATGGTTTATCTTTTGTAACAGAAATTAAAATGTCAGCAGGTGGAACAAATTATGTTTGTACAGAGATGTGTAAAAGATATATTAACGTCTGCCTCTCAGTCTGTTGAAGTTTGTGAAAGTGACTTGTGCAAGATATAATTAAAATGTAACCAACCAAAAGCGACTGAGATCTTCATGGATCTGCGGCAGAAACTATTTGTTGCTTTCTTCCCTACTTCATGCGAGACAAGTTTGTGTTCTACCGACAATGGAGGTAATTCATTTATTTTCTCCCTCCAGAAATGGCCAAAGAATTTACAGTCTGAAGGGTAAAGGAATGAGATACGCTCCTGTTTTGATTCCATGCAAATTAAGCACCATTCAATTTCATAATAACTAAATTGAGAGAATCCTGTGTTCTCTTTTCTAACAAGGATCACTAATTTGCCAGCAGTGACTGAAAGCAATTATTACCTTGACTTTTTATGAGTTGGAGTTTCTTACGAAAAGGTAATAAATTCAAAGCTGGCTTCCACCGAAGCTTGAATCAAAAATGTATGAAGACATGTGTGCTAGAAATATCAGGGGAAAGAGGTGGAGCAGCTGAAGTGGTTTTGGATGTACCAATCTATAAAACGTGATTGAGCTGGAATAGGCAGAGGAAACACAGGAGTATAGAGAACGAATCTGTAGAACACAGTAGATCAAGGGTTGCCATGTAAAACAACTTCAAGTGGAAAGCCAGGACACCTTATAAAATGTTTTCAATTCTTAAATAAATGATTGCTTCAAATTATTTTTTCTAAATATCAGAAAAAATCTAGATACTGTGCTTGTTTCTGATATTTCAGTATCTTGATTTTTTAATGTAAAATTATATAATGCAAAATTCAAAGCTACTCACATAGATGACCTAAGCTTTTGGGATGATTAATTGCTGTTACTTATTT